CTGGAGGGGGGCGTGGGTGTGCAGGGGCGGTGCAGGGGCGCTGGGGGGTGGCTGCCGGGCCGCAGAGGGGGCCAGGGAAGGGGCGCAGCCGTGCCTCACCCGCCCCGTGCCAGGCGCGGTCGGGGAGCCGGGCTCGGTGCCCCGCGTCGCCTTCTCGGCCGCGCTGAGCTCGCAGCGCTCGGAGCCGGGCACCGTGCCCTTCGACCAGGTGCTGCTCAACGACGGCGGCGCCTACGACCCCGAGACCGGTGAGGGCCCGCGGGCTGCGCTGGGGAGCGCTGGGGCTGCGGGGTGCTTTTGGGGCTGGGGGGTGCTCTGGGGCTGCGGGGAGCGCTGGGGCTGCGGGGAGCTCTGGGGCTGCGGGGTGCTTTTGGGGTCATGCATGTCGCGCTGTGGGCAGGCACTCACGGGTGCACGATGCCGTGTGAGGGGAGCCGGGGCTCTGGGGCGGTGCCGTGCCCGCCCCGGGATCCCCGATGCCGTGTGAGGGCAGCCGGGGCTCTGGGGCGGTGCCGTGCCCGCCCCGGGATCCCCGCTGACCTGGGGATGCGGCTCCGGGGGCGCGGGGCCCCGCCGCTCCGTGACGCCCCGTTCTCCCCGCAGGCACGTTCACGGCGCCGGTGCCCGGGCGGTACCTGGTGAGCGCGGTGCTCACGGGGCACCGGGGCGAGGCGCTGGAGGCCGTGCTGTCCCGCTCCGGCCACGGCATCGCCCGCCTGGACTCGGCCGGGTTCCAGCCCGAGGGGCTGGAGAAGGGCCCGGTGGCGGCGCGGGGCCCGAGCCCCGGGGCGCTCGGCGTGTTCAGCCTGCTGCTGCCGCTGGCGGCCGGCGAGACGCTCTGCGTGGACCTGGTGTCGGGGCGCCTGGCGCACGCCCCCGACGAGCCCCTGACCGCCTTCAGCGCCGCGCTGCTCTACGGCCCCGAGGAGCCCTAGGGCCGCGGGGCACGGCCGGCCCCGCCGGGACCCCCCCCCGCCCCGTTATTTATCTGCACCCGCCCGCCCTCGCCGTCCCAGAGGGGGCTGCTGGCTGCAGGGGGTCACCGTGTCACCAACCTGCAGGGTGTCACCGTGTCACTGACCTGCCAGTGTCACCATGCCACCGAGCTGCCAGGTGTCACCGTGTCACTGAGCTGCTGAGTGTCACCGTGCCACCAACCTGCAGGGTGTCACTGTGTCACCAGCCTGCTGGGTGTCACTGTGTCACTGACCTGCCAGGTGTCACTGAGCTGCCAGGTGTCACCGAGCTGCCAGGTGTCACCATGCCACCGAGCTGCCGGGTGTCACCGAGCTGCCAGGTGTCACCGTGTCACCGAGCTGCAGGGTGTCACTGTCTCACTGAGTTGCCAGTGTCACCGTGTCACTGACTTGCCAGGTGTCACCGAGCTGCAGGGTGTCACCGAGCTGCCAGGTGTCACCGTGTCACCAGCCTGCTGGGTGTCACTGTGTCACCGAGCTGCCAGGTGTCACCATGTCACCGAGCTCCATCACAGCCCAGCAGTGCCAGCCTGTGCACAGCAGGGTGGGGTCTGGGGGGGCTGGAGGGGGTTCCCACTGTTTTGGGTGTGCCATGACTGGGGTGGGAGGTGCTGGGACCCCCCCGGTGCTGTGTCCTGCTGTGCCGGGGCACTCCGGGCCCCCCGTGCCCCCAGGTGAGGGGGCTGGCCTGGGGGGGGCAGGCAGGCTCCTGCCCGGGGGGCCCTGTGGTGCTCCTGAATGCCCCTCTGGGGGTGTTTCAGCCCTGCTGTGGGGTGGCCCCGGGTGCCCCGTTCCTCCAGGGCTGTTTGCTGGGTCCGGGGGGCTCGGGGTGCTGTGCCAGCGCTGTGCCCTGCAGGGGCAGGGTGGAGTGGGGGGGTCCCACGTGTCGGTGTGAAACGGGCTCCAGGCTGGGTCTGGGGCACTGGATCCTCCTTGGAGATTCAGGAGTGGTTTTGGTGCGGAAAGATCGGATTTGGGGCCAGGCAGAGGGGGAACCCAGCCCCAGCCTGTGCCCCCGCTGTCCTGGAGCTCATTAATGGTGAGGCTGGGACTGAGCCCTTTGTGCTCGGGTGCTCTGGGCATCTCCAGTGCCATCGTCAGGTGAGCACCAGTGGCACTGTCTGTCTGTCTGTCTGTCTGTCTGTCTGTCTGTGTCTGGGCTCTTTAACAGCTCATGGGGCTTGGTGTGGGACAGGGCAGTGCTGGTTCTGTTAATGCAGCTCTGCTGCTGGTGATGTGTAAAAATGTGAGAGAAAATATTGTTAAACCCAGGATGCTTTCAGTGAGAAGAGACCTCCAGGACCACCCAGTGCCACCCCTGCCACGGCAGGGGCACTGCCACTGTCCCAGGGGGTCCCAGTGCCCAGCCTGGCCTTGGCACTGCCAGGGATCCAGGGGCAGCCCCAGCTGTGCCAGCCCTGCCCACCCTGCCAGGGAACAATTCCTCATTCCCAATCTCCCATCCAGCCCTGCCCTCTGGCACTGGGAGCCATTCCCTGTGTCCTGTCCCTCCAGCCTTGTCCCCAGTCCCTCTGCAGCTCTCCTGGAGCCCCTCCAGGCCCTGCCAGGGGCTCTGAGCTCTGCCTGGATCCTTCTCCTCTCCAGGTGAGCCCCCCCAGCTCTGCCAGCCTGGCTCCAGCCCTGCAGCAGCTCTGGGGCCTTCTCCGGACCCACTTTTGTCAGCTGAACCTCAGGATCAGTGGGATCCCTGCTCACAGCCAGGCTCTCATTCTGCCCTGGCAGCAAATCCCAGCGTGAGCAGAGTTTTGGGGGAATTGTTTCTCTCCGGACCCACTTTTGTCAGCTGAACCTCAGGATCAGCCAGGCTCTCATTCTGCCCTGGCAGCAAATCCCAGCGTGAGCAGAGGTTTTGGGGAATTGTTTCTCTGGGATGGCATTCCCGTTGTCAGCAGAAGGTGGAGATCCAGAGCCGTGACAGCAATTCCTGGAGAGGAGGGAATTGAAAGCTGGGAAGCGCTCAGCCTTTCTGCATTGTCCCTCACTGTGTCCCCTTGGAAGATTCCCTGTCCCAGCCCGGGCTCACCCCGGGCAGCGGCGGCTCTGGCCCCTCTCTGCCCGTGCAAAGGGAAGCAGAGATTCCTGGTGGCTCCTTTTAGGATTTACCAGCCTCAGAAGGATCATTGTCCTCCTGACCATGAGAAGAAAGGGTTTCATAAGGAAAATGGGTGTGAGAGTCTTCCTACCACTCCTAGAATCACGGAAAAGCCCCCTGACCCCATGGAGCATCCCTGACCACCCCCAGGACCGCCCAGGCCACCACTGTCCCTGTCCATTCCCTTCCCAGCTCCCTCAGCCTCTCCTGGGGCTCTGCACTCTGTGCCCTTCCTAACCTAAAACTATATTTAACACACTACTTAAGAAAATCGATACAGCACAACTTTCTAACGTAACACACACAATGTTCATTGTAATATTTGAGAAAAGCCAATCATAAAATACACATTTTTCACAGGGCAGAAATGGTTATCGATTTCAAATCACAAAGGATCCTCAAAAGTCGTTTAATGTCAGCTGCTGGTTAACGTGCTGGGTGGGGCAGTCTCCATCCCAGAGGCTGCTCCCAGCTGGGGTACAGCCCTGGCACAGCAAAGGTGCTTCCTGAATGTGAAAAATGTGTATTTTAGATTGGCTTTTCGGAATCTGGAAGGAGTCTGGAAGGAGTCTGGTTCTTCCTGATAAGGAGACAATAATTATTTTCTTTGGGACTTTTGTGTATTGTTGCTGTTATCTCTGTGTGAAAAATGTCTTGATTATCTTATCTGTTCTTTGAGCTAGTTAGAAAAAGTATCTTACATTGCGTAGTTTCTATTTTATATTATGCTCTAGTCTAAAACTATATTTACCACACCCTTTTAAAAGGATTAATACAGCCCTTCCTTCCTTCCTTCCTTCCTTCCTCCCTTCCTTCCTTCCTTCCTTCCTCCCTTCCTTCCTTCCTTCCTTCCTCCCTTCCTTCCTTCCTTCCTTCCTCCCTTCCTTCCTTCCTTCCTTCCTCCCTTCCTTCCTTCCTTCCTTCCTCCCTTCCTTCCTTCCTTCCTTCCTCCCTTCCTTCCTTCCTTCCTTCCTCCCTTCCTTCCTTCCTTCCTTCCTCCCTTCCTTCCTTCCTTCCTTCCTCCCTTCCTTCCTTCCTTCCTTCCCTTTAAAAGTGCTTTCTCATTTTATTTTTTTGGGTATCACAGGGCTCCTTCCCTGCTCCACAAATGGCCATAGAGACCATCAGGCACCAGAATCCTTTTCCTCTTCCTTTTCCTTTTCCTTGGAACATCCTCCTGGAAGGAAATGGAGCAGTTTCCCCCAAGTTCATATAAATAATATTGATTTTTAAATTCAGTTTCCTGCTGCTGTGCCAGTGCAGCAAGCCAGGCACAGGTGGTGGTTTCAGTTATGCACAAAGTGCTGCAATTCCTCAAGAACAGCCACAAGTTCTCCTCATTCCGGAAAAAAGTCTTTCCATACTGTGTGCACGTTTGCTGCCCTCTCACCCAATACAAATTGACACGTAGGAAAATGCAATTCATTAATGGAATTTGGACACACACACACGGAGCAGCCGCCACTGCCCAGGAATCTTGTGCAAACCCCAGACCCCAGACCCCAGAGCCTGCCGGGCCTTTCCGGGGGCCCTCAGCCCCTCGCCCCTCGGTGAGACCCCCGCTCCCCCCGGGCTGCTCGGGTGCGCGCTCTCGCAGCGGTGCAGGAGTTGCAGCAAACGCTGCAGTCAGGCTGAGGCGCTGCAGGGTCACAGCCCCGGGGCCGGCACCGGCGCTGCCCCGGGATTTCGCAGCCCCGGGACCGGCACCGGCGCTGCCCCGGGATTTCGCAGCCCCGGGGCTCCTGCTGGCCCCGGGAGCCCGGCTGAGCCCGGCTGAGCCCGGCTGAGCCCGGCCGGACCGGCCCCGGGTCACGCCCGGGTCACCAAAGGGCTCCGCGGGCTTTCCCGAGTCATGGCGGTGGCGCGTGTCTGTCTGTGTGTCCGTGTGTCTGTCTGTGCCTGTGTGTCCATCTGTCCTTGTGTGTCCATGTCCGTGTGTCGATTTCCCTGTGTGTCCCTGTGTCCGTCTGTCCCTGTGTGTCCCTGTGTGTCCGTGTCCGTCTGTCCCTGTCCCCGTGTCCGTCTGTCCCTGTCCTGGTGTCCGCCTGTCCCTTTTCCCATCTCCGTCTGTCCCTCTGTGTCCCCGTGTGTCCGTCTGTCCCTGTGTGTCCCTGTCCCAGTGTGTCCGTCTGTCCTTGTGTGTCCCCGTGTCCGTCTGTCCCCGTCCCCGTGTGTCCGTCTGTCCCTGTGTGTCCCTGTCCCCGTGTCCGTCTGTCCCTGTGTGTCCCCGTGTCCGTCTGTCTGTCCCGCCGCGCGCGCTCCCTGCACAGTGGGGGCGTGGCCATGGGCGTGTCCTAATGCCCACGCCCTCCGAGGGCCCGGCGTGGCTGCGGCCGCTGATTGGCGGCGGCGCGAGGGGGCGTGGCCAGAGCTTTGCCCGTGCCCGGCGCGGTTCTGTCCCTGTCCCTGTCCCTGTTTGTGTCCCCGTCCCTGTCCCGGTCCTTGTTCCTGTCCCTGTCCCGGTTCCGGCCCCGGCCCCGGTCCCGGGATGGCGGCAGCGGCGGGCGGCGCGGCGGGCAAGCGGCGGATCCTGTGCGTGGGGCTGGTGTGCCTGGACATCATCAGCGTGGTGGAGGCGTTCCCGGCCGAGGACTCGGACACCAGGTACGGGCAGCGGGGCTCCCGCGGCGCCCCCGGGCCGGCCCCGCGCCCAGCGCAGCCTCTCGCCCCGCAGGTGCGTGTCCCAGCGCTGGCAGCGCGGCGGCAACGCCTCCAACTCCTGCACGGTGCTGGCCCTGCTGGGAGCGCCCTGCGCCTTCATGGGCTCGCTGGCCCCCGGGCCCGCCGCTGAGTAAGTGGGGTGCGGGGCTCCCGCACCGGGGGGGCACCGGCCCCGCCGCCCCGACCCTTCACTGGCCCCTCCGCGCTGCTGCCGACCCTCGGCGCGCTGCCCGCCCGCCGTTCCCGCTGCCCGCCGTTCTCCACTGGCCGCCGTTCCCGCTGCTCGCGGTTCCGCTGCCCGCCGTTCCCCGCTGCCCGTTCGCCGTTCCCCGCTACCCGCCGTTCCCCGCTGCCCGCCGTTCCCGCTCCCCGCCGGTCCCCGCCGCCCGCCCGCCGCCCACGCCGCTCTCTGTCCCCCGAAGCTTCATCGCGGCGGATTTCCAGCGCCGGGGGGTGGACACGGCGCACGTGGCCTGGCAGCCCCGCGGAGCCGTGCCCTGCGCCTGCTGCCTCGTCAACGCCGCCAGCGGCTCCCGCACCATCGTCCTGCACGACACGTAAGGACCGGCCCCTGCCCCGGGCAGCGCTGCCCTCCGCCGGCTCCGGTCCGAGGGTCCCCCGCCTGCCCGGGGCTGCCGGATGGGGCGAGCGGCCGTGACCCCGCAGACGCTGTCACCGCCAGTGTCCCCGCAGCCCTGTCACCTCCGGCTGCCGGGGCCGGGGGTGATCGCCGCACGGCCGCTCCGAGTGCGGGACAGCCGGCACGGCCCGGTGGGGATAACGCGGCTCCCTCGGCCGTGCCGGAGGGCTGTGGGGCACGGCTGACCCGCGGCCACCGCTGCGCTGTCCCTCGAGTCCAGCTCAGGGTCCCGGCGCCGGCATTAATGATTCACCCAGGCAGCGCCTCCTCGGGGACTCTGTCCCGGTGGCGTGGGGCCCCGGCGGCCCCCGGGGCTGCCCTTCGCCCCGGGCGCGTGCCAGGCCGAGGGTCCCCATCAGCCCCTGGCCTCCGTCCCACAGGAACCTGCCTGACGTGACAGCCCGCGACTTCGAGCGGGTCGACCTGTCCCAGTACAGGTGGATCCACTTCGAGGTGAGCCCGGGCTCTGGGGCTTATAGGGTCTGGAGGACCCCCGGGGCTGTACGTGAGCCTGGGCCCGGAGGGAATCCCTCCTGGGTTCTGGGGACATCCCCAGTGAGGGAGCATCCCCGGGAGCGGCGGTGCCCCGGTGATGCCGGAGCCGTGCCGTGCCCGCAGGCCCGGAACGCGGCGGAGCAGGGCGCGATGCTGGAGCGGGTGGAGCGGCACAACCGGGCGGCGGCGCCGGGGCAGCGGGTCCGGATCTCGGTGGAGCTGGAGAAGCCGCGGGAGGAGCTGCTGCCGCTGATGCGGCGGGGACAAGTGGTGCGGGGCCGGGGCGATGGGGCGGGATGACCTCTCCCGGTCACCTGTCCCGGTCACCTGTCCCCATCGCCTGTCCCCATCGCCTGTCCCGATGGCCTGTCCCCATCGCCTGTTCCGATCACCGGGCGGGGCCAGAGGCGTGGCGGGGGCTCGGTCGGGACGGGAGCGGGCAGATCTGCAGGGAGCACGACCCAGCAGGATTTGGGAGTCCCGGTCCGGGGGAGTCCGGCTCGGGGGCTGCAGGGGTGCGGGGTTTGGATCTAGGGGTGCAGGCGGGGTCTGGGGACGCCGCCAGGGCACAGATGTAACCGCACCTGGCTGGGGGTACCGGGGCTGCCCCCGCCCCAGCCCCTCTCCCACAGGTGTTCATCAGCAAGGACCTGGCCCGGCACTTCGGGTACCAGTCGGCCCCCGAGGCGCTGCGGGGGCTGCGGGGGCGCATCCAGCCAGGGTAGGGGTGCACCTGAGAGGGGCCGGGGGGCACACGGCGTGCCCCAGACCCACCTCGCACTCCCCCAGGGCCACGCTGATCTGCGCCTGGGCTGAGGAGGGCGCCGATGCCCTGGGGCCCGACGGGGAGCTGGTGCACTCGGACGCCTTCCCCCCGGAGTCCGTCGTGGACACGCTGGGGGCTGGGGACACCTTCAACGCCGCCGTCATCTTTGCGCTCGCAGAAGGTGGGCACAGACGTGGCACGGCCACGGCACGGCCGTGGTTCAGTTTGGCACGGCCACGGCACGGCCACGTCTCATCCCGGGCCCCATCCCCAGGGAGGAGCCTGCAGGATGCCCTCACCTTCGGCTGCCAGATCGCCGGCAGGAAATGTGGGATCCAGGGCTTCGATGGCATTGTCTGAGCGTGTGCCTGGAGAGCTCGGCAGCCCCAGGCACAGCACTGCACCCAGCAGCACCTGCACATCTCCACCGCACCCAGCCATCCCCAATAAAACCCCATTGCACCACTGCTGCCTCCTGTGTCCCCTGGCTGGGGTCCCACTGCCCCGGGGATGCACTGACCACAGCCAAGTGACCAGCAGTGCCTCTATTTCTGCATCCAATGAGTTACAGAGGGGAGCACACCACCCCAGCCCTGCTTGGCCATCCCCTGCCCCTCTGTGCCCTGAGCAGGGCAGGGAGTAGCATCCCAGAGCCCCCAGTGCCTACCCCTCCCCATGGTCCCTCCAGGCTGGGGCTGCCTGCTCCTCAGGGGCTTCAGCCTCAGGGGCTTCCTCTTCCTCTGTGGTATCAGTACTGGGGGCTTTGGCCTCAGGAATTATTTCTGCTTCCAAGGCCTCAGCATTGGGAGATTCCACCTCAAGGGATTCCATCTTGGGGGCTCCATCCTCAAGGGCTCCAGTCTGGGGGTCTTCTTCCTCAGGGGCACCAGTCTGGAGGTCTCCATCCTCAGGGGCTCCAGTCTGGGGGTCTCCAGCCTCAGGGTCTCCAGTCTGGGGGTCTCCAGGCTCAGTGGCTGCCTGTCCTGGGCTTTTCAACCCCAGGTCCTGCCTTGGCATCTCCGTGCCCCCGCCAGGCACAGCCCCAACCCCTGCCTGCTGCTCTAGTGGGGGCTGTTCTGGGGGACCCTTGTCCTGACCAGGCAAGAGCACCTCGGGGGGGTCCAGCAGCTCAGAGGGGTCCAGCAGCCCATCCCCATTCAGGTCCTGCCTTGCCAGAGCTTGGTCCACCAGTGCAGCCACCTAGGGGGGTGGGGAACAGGATGAGGGCTCGGCCCGGGGGCTCAGCGGGGCACGAGGAGCCATCCCTGTGGGACCCACCATGTCAGGGTCAGGCTGCCCCCCAGCCTGTGCCAGCACCGTGCCAAGTAACTGCAGCAGCTCCAGCCCATCCAGGCGCCTGCTCTGGTCGTGGTCGTGGAGCACGAAGAGGTAGAGCAGGGCTGTGGGGCATGGGGTGCTGTGGGGCGGGGTCCCTGGCCCCACCAGCCCCTCAGCCCCCATCTCGCCCTGGTGGCCTTACCCTGCTCCCGTGTCATGGCCTCCACGTCCCGCTCCGGGGGCCCCAGGCTCCGCACGGCGCTCCTCAGCAGCCTGGGGGGAGCAGGGCTGGGGTGGGAAGCACTGTCCATGCCCCCCGCCCAGCCCTGTGCCCCCCAGCCCCACGCACAGCCCTGGCCGTGGTGGGGGTCCCGGTGCTGTGGGGGTCCCCAGGGCAGGGACTCACAGCAGTGCAGGCGACTCCGGGCTCAGTGGGTCAGGGTACGGGTCCACGACTGCAGCCACGGGGGGCTCGGGCCTGGCCGAGGGACAGGGGTTGGTTCCTGTGCCCCGGGGGGCTGCCCCCCCGCCTGACGCCCCCCACCACGGCCCCTGCCGATCCACGGGCCCCAGCCCTCACTGTGCAGCTCGGACCCCTGTGCTTGCCCTGCCACAGCCACCTTGCAGTGCCCTTGGAAACCTGTGCCCCTGGAAACACCACAGCTCTGCCTTCCTTTAACTGTGCCCCCAAGCTCTGCCTTCCTTCAACTGTGCCCCCCAAAACTCTGCCATCCCTTAACTGTGTCCCCAAAACTCTGCCATCCCTTAACTGTGTCCCCAAAGCTCTGCCTTCCCTTAACTGTGCCCCCACACTCTGCCTTCCCTTAACAGTGTCCCCCTGCCCTGTCCCCAGACCTGTGTCCCCGTACCTGTTGGAGCCGGCCCTGGGGGCAGCCCACGCCGCTGGCCCCAGCAGCAGCAGCAGCAGCAGCGGCGGCATCACCGGCGGCTCCCTCCTGCCGCGACCTCGGGCTGCGCGGGCCGGGAGCACCGGGGTCGGGGCGGGCCCTGCCGGGGGTCGGGGGCACGGCCCGTGGGAACCCGGCGCGGGGAGAGGGGCGGGGGCTCCGGGAGCCGCCCCGGTGCCAGCACGGCGGGGACGGTGCGTGGGGACCGCGGAGCGCGTGGGGCCGGCCGGCGCTGCCCCCCCAGCGCAGCCCCGGCACCACTCACCCGCACACCGAGCCGGTACCGCCGGTGTCCCCGGCACCACTCACCCAGCACACCGAGCCGGTACTGCCGGTGTCCCCGGTACCCGCTCACCCCGCACACCGAGCCGGTACCGCCGGTGCCCCCTGGTACCACTCACCCCGCACACCGAGCCGGTACCGCCGGTGCCCCCTGGTACCACTCACCCCGCACACCGAGCCGGTACCGCTCACCCCGCACACCGAGCCGGTACTGCCGGTCCCCAGTCACCCCGCACACCGACCCGGTGCCCCCGGTACCCACTCCCCCCCGGTACCCACGCACCCAGCCCCGTTCGCGTGTCCGTGCCGCCTGCCCCGCCCCGGGGCCACGTAGCCGGCACGCCTCGGCTCTGCCACCGCGGCCGGGAACGGCCCCGCCCGGCCCGGCCCGGCCCGCGGGGAGCAGGGATTCAGCCGCACGCAGGTGCCCCGGGGCAGCGCCGGGGTAACCGGGACCCGGCCCGTCCAAACCGGGGCCCGGGATGGGCTGGTGGTCGCAGCAGGGACGGGGCCACGGCGGTGGGTGAGACGCCCCGAGCCCCCCACGGTCCCGGGCCAGCCCAGCGTCACCGACCCCCGGGCCCCGCAGCAGCACGGGCGAGGGCCGGGGCCGGCCCGTGCTGGTCCGCACGGCCCCGGGGGCTCCGGACAGCCAGCCCCGTGCCCCCGAGCAGCCCCGAGGGCACACCGGTCCCGGGGGCCATGCCCTGAGCCGCTCCCCCAGCACACGCGGACAGCACTGCCTTCATGCTCCAGTTTAATGGCAGCAGCAGGGCGGGGGGAGCGGGACCCCCTCTCCTGGGGCGGGACACGGCCCTGTCCCGGGCCAGCCCTGCCCTGCTGCCAGCACGGTCCCACAGGGACGGGCCCTGCGGGCTCCCTGGACGCGCCTGCTCCCCGAGCGCCAGCGGGGACAGCGCGGCCAGGCTGGTCCCTCGTGTCCTTCACAGTCTGTGTGGGGGAGGAGGAGGAGGCTGGGGGGTCGCTCCTGGTGCCAGCGGGACCCTCCGGGGGCCGGGGGGCTACAGGAAGCCTGGGAAGGCGAGCTGCAGCAGCAAGATGGTGGCCACGATGAGCCCGGCACAGAGCAGCAGCAGCAGCCAGACAGGGAGGGAGCCTGTGGGACAGGGAGGGGTCAGAGCAGGCTGCAGCCCCCCCTGCAGAGCAGGAGCAGAGCAGCCCGGCCCCGGGAGCAGCCCCCGGACGTACGGCGGGTGGGCAGCAGGTGCAGCTTGCAGCGGCTGTCCACGGCCACGCTGAGCAGGGCAGCCTCGTGGCCCCCCAGCAGCTCCCGCCCCGGCCGGCTCTCGGGGACGAAGGCCACGTCGGTCACCACGATGCCATGGGCCTCCTTCACGTAGTACAGCCTCTGGGGGCACACAGGAGGTGAGGGGCTGCGGGGCCGGCGGCGCTGCCCCCAGCCCTGCCCGGCTCACCTGCAGCGAGAAGGCAATGTGGATGGCCACGGAGCCCGTCACTGTGCCCAGCCCCAGGAAGGTGCCCGAGTCGCTGCGGGGGGAGAGCAGTGAGCGGGGGCTGCCACGGCCCCCACCCCGTGCCCACCGGCCCCGGGCTACCTGATGGAGAGGCAGGAGACCACCTCGGAGCCGCAGGGCCGCGTCAGCAGCGGCAGGAAGCTCTTCCCGTCCCACTTGGTCAGGTAGCAGGGCGGGGGCCGGCGCTCCCGCTTGTGGGGCACCTGCACGGTGTAGAGCCGCAGGGCCCCGGCGCTGCCCTCCACGGCCCCAAACCTGCCAGGACAGGGCCACGGGGGCACGTGGGGTGCAGCCCCTCGCCGCCACCACTGCCCCAACCCAACCCAGCCCCCTCCCCGTACAGCAGAGCCCAGGGGACAGAGCCCTTCCCACAGACCCAGCAGGAACAGCGACGGGGCAGGGCAGCAGGGCAGCAGGCAGGGGTGCCCCATTCCCAGCCCCAGCAGCCCCTCCCCACCTCCTGCCCCGTGACCCAGCCCTGATGACCCACAGCCTAGCCCCACGCCCTGCCCTGTCCCCAGCCCCAACAGCCCTCCCTGTCCCCCTGCCCAGTCCCAGTGCCCCATCCCAGCCCTCTGATCTGCCCCCAGGCTCCGTGTGCAGCCCCCAGCCCCAGCCCAGCCCTCTGATCTGCCCCCAGGGCTCCGTGTGCAGCCCCCAGCCCCAGCCCAGCCCTCACCGGCAGGCCTGGTAGCGATAGGCCTTGTCGGGGATGCCGGGCAGGTTCTCGTGCCAGCGCAGCCCTGTCACCAGCTGGTCCTGCTGCCACACGCAGCACTGGAAGTCCCTCCCCGCCGTCACCACCTGCTGCACACAGCACAGGGGTCTGAGGCCCCTCTCCTGCAGGGCAGGGAACCGGGGAGCCCCTGACACCCACCTTGTTGTCAGGGCCCAGCGCGATGTCCTCAATTTCCCCGTCGTGGGCTCTGAACTCCAACGTCTTCTTCATGCTGGGGAACTGCAGGGGCAGAGCTGGTGTGGGCACCGGGCAGGGCCAGGCCCTGCCATGGTCCCAGGCAGGTGTGGGGGAGCAGCGTTAGGTGAGCACAGGGTGCTCCCAACTGTCCCTGCCCAATGCCTGCTGCCATTGGCACAATGGCTGCTCCTGCATGTCTGCCCCAGCTCCCCGTGCCCACCCTGATCCCTGTGCCCACTCCAGCTCCCCATACCTGCGCTTCAACCCTCTGTCCCCACATCCACTCCCCCACATCCACTCCCCCACATCTCCCCAGCTCCCCGTGCCTGCCTTCAATCCTCTGTCCCCACATCCACTCCCCCATGTCCCCCCAGCTCCCCCTGCCCACCCTGGTGCCTGTGCCCACCCCTGTTCCTGTGCCCACCCTGGCTCCCCATCCTGCCCTTCAATCCTTTGTTCCCACATCCAATTCTCCCACACCCCCACATCCCCCCGTGCCTGCCTTTCAATCCCCTGTCCCCACATCCACTTCCCTACAACCCCCAGCTCCCCACGCCTGCCCATCAATCCCCTGTCCCCCAGCTGCCCGTGCCTGCCGTGGCTCCCCACGCTCCCCGTGCCCCCAGCCGTGTCCCGGTGGCCGTGCCCACCTCCCAGAGGCGCAGGAAGCCGTCGGCGCCGCCGGTGGCGAGCAGGGCGCCGTCGGCGCTGAAGCGCACGGCCTTCTGCAGGGCGTCGGGGCTGAAGTCGGTTCTCACGCGCTGCAGGCTCTCCACGCGCACCTCGCGGGCCCGGCCCGGCGCGGCCCCCGCTGCCACGGGCTGGCACGGGCTGGCACAGGCTGCGGGGTGCTGCTCCTGCCCAGAGCACCCCGCAGCCCCACGGATCCCAGGCCCTGCCCCACGGCACCCAGGCTCCCCACACCCTGCCCCACAGCACCCAGGTTCCTCATGCCCTGCCCCATGGCTCCCCACTCACTGCCCCGCAGCCCCACGGCTCCCATGCCCTGCCCCACAGCACCCAGGCCCTGCCCATGGCTCCCACGGCTCCCCACTCACTGCCCCACAGCTTCCCACACCCTTCCCCATGGCTCTCACAGCTCTCCACTCACTGCCCCACGGCACCCAGGCTCTCCATTCCCTGCCCATGGCACCTACGGCTCCGCACTCACTGCCCCACAGCACCCATGGCTTCCCACTCACTGCTCCACAGCTCCCAGGCTCCCCATGCCCTGCCTCACGGCACCCACAGCTCCCCACTCACTGCCCATGGCACCCAGGCTCCCCACTCACTGCCCCACAGCTTCATGGCTCCCCACACCCTGCCTCACAGCACCCAGGCCCTCCACGTCAGGGCTCAGGGCAGGCAAGAGGCAGTGGAGGGCTTCCATCCCCAGAGCTCCCCACAGCACCCCAGGCAGGCACTGGGGGGGCAGGGGGTTCCAGGACAGTGCCCAAACCCCAAATCTTCACACGGCACCCCACGCAGGCACAGGGGGCAGGTCCGTGACAGTGATGCAGGGGTTCAGGGCAATGCCATCCCCAAGCCACCCCACAGACCCTCAGCTCTCCCCCACTCCCTGCCCTCCAGCGCCCAGGGCAGGCGCAGGGAAGGTCCAGGGTGGGCATGGGAGGTCCACAGCTGTACCCCGGCCCCAAAGCACCCCACAGCCCCCCACACTATGGCCACAGCATCCCAGGGTGGGGGGGCACGGGGGAGCCCCAGGGCAGTGTCCCTCCCCAAAGCTCACCACGGTACCCAGGGCAAGCACAGAGAAAAGGGTCAGGATGGGCAGGCAGGGGTGCAAGGCAGTGCCCCATGCCCAAGCCACCCCACGGACCCCACGTCCTGCCCCACAGCACCCAGGGGAGGGGACTCAGGGCAGGCACGGGGGAGCTCCAGGGTGGGCACGGGGCTGTTCACAGAATGCCTTATCTCCACAACACCCTTCATGCCCCCACAGCACCCACCCAACGCAGGAGGGGAGGGGATTCAGGGCAGGCACAGGGGAGCTCCAGGGTGGGCACGGGGCTGTTCACAGAATGCCTTATCTCCACAACACCCTTCATGCCCCCACAGCACCCAGGCGGGCGGGAGGGGACTCCAGGGCCCTCCCCAAGCCCAGCCCGGGGGCACATGCCGGCGCAGGGTGTCTCACCGTCCTTCCCGGCGCTGCCCGCGGCCTCGGGCTCCTGCAGGCTGAAGCGCAGGATGTGGCAGCTGTTGTCCTGCCCGGCGGCGATGACATCCCCGGCCAGCGCCATGGTCATGGTGGCGCGGGTCTCGGTGTCGTGGCAGTGCAGCAGCGAGGCGCTGAGCTGCCCGCCGATCTGCTCCAGCTGCAGGAAGTGCTGCGGAACGGGGGGAGCGGTCACGGCCCCGCCGCGGGGCTGCCCGGGACACCGGGACCCCCAGCACCGGGACCCCGGGCACCGGGACCCCTGGGCACCGGGACACCGGGCACCGGGACCCCCGGACACCGCGACATCGGGACCCCCGGGCACCGGGACCCATGGGCACCGGGACACCGGACATCGGGACCCCCGGGCACCGGGACCCATGGGCACCGGGACACCGGGCACCGGGACCCCTAGGCACCGGGACCCCGGGACACCGGGACCCCCGGACACCGCGAACCCCCCAGGCCCCGCCGTGTCAGACCCTCCCGGGCCCCTCACACCCCCCAGGCCCCGCCGTGTCACACCCCCCGCCACACCGGGCCCCCCCCGGGCCCCCCGGCCTGCCGCGCCCCGCTCCCCGCCGCCCCGTGCCCGCTCCCCGCACCACGCCATTGCGGATGCCGGTCTTGGCGGCGCCCCCGCCGCCGGCGGTGATGGCGAGCGGCCGCCGCGGGTGCAGGCGCACGGTGTAGAGCGGGAACGGCGCCCGGTACAGCTCGGCGGGCCGCCGGGGCGCCATGACACCGGCGTGACGTCACCCGCCGTTGCGTCACGCCCCGTTACCCGCCGGGGGTGTGGCTAACCGGGGAGGGGGCGTGGCCTCGGGGTCACGTGGGACGGGGGGGACAGCCCGGTGCCGGGGACACGGACCGGGGGGACACGGACCGGGGATACCGGGGGGACACGGGGACAGCCCGGTGCCGGGGACACGGACCGGGGGGACACGGACCAGGGGGACACGGACCGGGGGTCACGGGGACAGCCCGGTGCTGGGGGCACGTAGGGGTCACGGACCGGGGGGTCACGGACCGGGGGGACACGGGGACAGCCCGGTGCTGAGGGGACAAGGGGACAGCCCGGTGCCGGTGACACGGACCGGGGGGACACGGACCGGGGGATCCCGGGGAGACACGGGGACAGCCCGGTGCTGAGGGGACGAGGGGACAAGGGGACAGCCTGGTGCCGGTGACACGGACCCGGGGGACATGGGGACACTGCCGGGACACACGGCGGCTCCTGGGGGGCAGTACTGGGGGACCCCCAATAGCTGGGGACACGGTGGTGCTGTAGCTCCATGGGGACCCCAGTGACTGGAGAAATGGGGTCCCTGTGGGGGACGGTGGGAATACCCCAGCGTTTGGGGACATGGCAGTGTCGGTACCCTGTGGGCTCCTGGGGGGCACTGCAGACACCCCACTCACCGCCTGGGGTGACAGGGTCCTGGGGTACATAGGGACAGCCCCCTGGGGGTCCGGGGAGCAGCAGGGACAGCCCCCTGGGGTGACAGGGTCCCGGGGTACAGCAGGGACAGCCCCCTGGGGGTCCAGGGGGTCCCGGGGTACAGCAGGGAGCTCCATGGGACCCTCCAGGCCTGTGCTCCAGAACCGTTTATTGGGGAACACCAAACACGAGGGGGTGACGGGGCTGGGGGGCGCGGGGCACCCCGGGGCGGGGCAGCCCGGCCCCTGAGCGGTGTGTAAGGCACTGGCTGGGCCGGGGGCACCGCACAGCGCCCCGGCTGCAGAGGGGCACCGCTCCCGCACCCCCCGCCGTGGTCCCAGAGCCCCCGGAGGGGCAGCCCGCCCACCCGCCCATCTCGGCACGCCTGAGGATGCCCCAGCCGGGTGTGGATCCCCGGCCAGGCCTTCAGAAGGAGGTTTCCTGCACGGCGTAGATGGGGGCACCCGCGCTGCGGACGTAGCCCTGTCCCTCCTCGCCCTGCTCGGGGCCGGGGGGGGACAGCCCGTTGGGCACCCCATGGCTCTTCTCTGCAGTGCCCGCGTGCCCGGCGGCCTGTGGGGACAGAGCGGGCAGGGCAGGCACAGGGCAGGCAGCAGCGGGGTGCCCCCATGGCCCTCGGGGTGCTGGGAGCCTGTCCCTCACCTGGGCCGAGCCGGCTGCCCCGCAGCAGAGCCAGCGCCGGATTTTGGGGGGCAGGCAGCACAGCAGCCACGGCAGCACGGGGGAGATGGTGCGGGGGTCCAGGGCCGCCGGCGGCGTGGGGCCTGGGGGCGCAGGGTGTGAGAGGGGCGGGGGCAGCGCGGCGGCCCCCGCGCCCCCCACACTCACCGGTGAGCAGGCTGACCAGGACCCCCACCAGGATGACGGTGGTGGAGTTGTGGGCGCTGTACCACATGTAGGACAGGCTGTAGAAGCGCTGCAGCCCCGTGGGGCTGGGGGACACGGCGTCAGCAGGGGGTGCAGGGCACCTCACCCCCCGCACCCCCAGCCCCCGAGCCCCCCTCGCTCACCTCGGGGCGGGTGCCGATGTGCTGGGGGGCAGCAGCGTGGTGGCCAGGACAGCGCTGAGGTTGCCCACGGTGGGCAGTGCTGTGCTGTTGGCGGGGGACACCCCCTTGGCCCCCGCTGTGCTCTGCAGGAAGCTGCCGATGCCGATCCAGAAGGCCATGGCCAGCCCGGCCAGCAGCCCCACCACGGCTCCCTGTGGCGGGCACAGAGAAGGGCGCTGGTCCCCGTGCGGACTCGGGGTGCCCCACAGCTCCCCCACGCCCCCACTCGGCGCTGGGGGCGCCGGCCGGGTCGGGGACACTCACGGTGGGGTTGGCGCAGGGGAAGAACATGCCGAGGCAGAAGAGCCCCAGGAGCGGGCCCCCCACCATGCCGAAGATGCTGATGGCTGCCTGTGGGGACACAGCCTTCAGCACCAGCCCCGTGCCCTGGAGGGGCCGGGGCCGGGGTCCCCACCCCGTCTGGGGTGCCAGAGCCGGGGTCCCCACCCCGTCTGGGGCGCCACAGCCCTGTGCCTACCTGCAGCACGGGTCCCAGCATGGAGGACACGTATGCCATCCCCAGGCACAGCAGCCCGTAACCGAGAGCTGGGGAGGGGAGCGGGGTGTCACGGCAGTGCTGGGGACCCCCCCGCCACGCCAGCCCCGCGGCCAGCCCCCATTACTCACCCAGCAGCTTGGAGAGCAGCGTGGCCCGCGACTCCGACAGCCCGGGGAAGTGCGGCCGCACCAGGTCCTCCATGGTCACCGTGGCCAGCGAGTTGAAGGCGGAGGAGATGGTGCTGGGGAGGACAGGGAGCAGGAGGGGGCTCGGCCGGGACACCTGAGCACACCTGGGGACACCTGAGCCACCACCCACTCACCTGAGGGCGCCACTGAAGAGGCAGGCGACAAAGAGCCCGGGCAGCCCCGGCAGGTCCTGCAGCACGTCCATCACGAAGAACAGCACCAGCTGTGGCGGGAGGTCAGTGCGGGGCTGGGAGCAGCAGGGGAACACGGGAGGGGCTCTTAACCCACCTGGTCGGGGGAGGCAGGGCGCTGGCTGGGCGCCAGCGGGTGCTCCAGGTTGTAGACAAACATGACGAGGCCCGTGAGGCAGCTGAGGCACAGCACGATCTGCTGGCAGGGGAACACGGCGTAGCAGGAGCTGCGGGCGCCGCGGGGCTGTCAGACTCGGGGGGTGCCGGGGGGCCCGCGGGGGGTGGCGGGGGGCCCAGCCCAGGTGCGGGGGCCCAGCCCAGCCCCACTCACAGCTTGGCCTGGCGCTCGCTGCGGGCGCACAGGTAGCGCTGCACCTGCGCCTGGTTCACCCCGTACAGCGACAGCATCATGAACACGCCGCCCACCGACAGCGACCAGAAGGTGTGGCGCTCCAGGGGGTTGGGGTCCAGGCTGCGGGGACAAGCAGGGGGCTCGTGGTGACCTCACCATGCCCCATGGGAAAGAGGGTACCGGGGTGGCCCGCACCGCCACTCCGGGGTCCCTCTCCCCCAGTCCGGGCTGCCCCAGGTGTCCCCAGGGCAGGACAGGGGTCCCGGGAGATGGCTCACTCGATGCCGGCGATCTTGCCCTGCTGCTCAGCCACGCGCCAGACACGGGCCATGCCCCCCACCCGCCAGGCGCCCACCACGATGACGGCGACCTGCCCCGCCAGCATCACCAGCGTCTGGAACACATCTGTCCAGATGACGGCCTTCAGGCCACCCTGGTGGGGACACGGGACGCCCGTCAGCAGAGGGTGACCGTGCCCACGTGGCAGGGCAGGGCACGGGCACCCGCGGCCGCAGGGACTCACCAGCGTGGTGTAGAGTGTGCAGACCAGCCCCATGGTCAGCACGGCGCTCCAAAGGTCAAAGCCCGTCACTGGAAGGGGCAGAGGGCATTAACGGGGTGAGGGGCAGCAGCCCCCTGGCACTGCCCCACACCTGAGCTCACCGTACCCGCGTTGAGGGCCAGAGCGGGGGCGTAGAGCACCACCCCCATGTAGATGACCTGTGGGGAGGGAGAGCAGCGCTGAGCCACGCCAGCCCCCAGAGCCTGCAGCCCCACAGCCCCGGCCCCACTCACCATCTGGAAGATGAAGGTGATGGTGCCAAAGACCCGCACGGTCTTGTTGAAGCGCAGCTCCAGGTACTGCGAGGAGAGAGGTCAGGGCACCTGACTGCAGGGTGCTCTGTGCTCCTCACAGCCCCCTCCCCGTGTCCCCCTTGCCCTCCCCGTGTCCCCTCTGCCCTCCTCGTGTCCTTCATGCCCTCCCCGTGCCCACCTCATAGGTGCTGGTGATGCGCAGCCGGTAGAAGACGGGGATGAAGATGTGCGCGGGGATGAGCAGCCCCAGGAAATAGGAGCAGCCGAGGAACCAGTACTCGGTGCCAAAGCGAAAGATCTCAGCCGGCACGCCCAGGATGGCCACAGCTGACTGGAAGGAGGCCAGCAGGGACAGGGCCACGGGCAGGCAGCCCATGTCACGGTTGGCCAGCAGGAACTCCTGCACCGTGCGCTGCCGGTCGCCGCTCAGGGCGTAGAAGAGCCCGATGGCCGAGGAGAGCACCAGCAGCAGGGCGAAGATGCTGTAGTCGATGGCCGTGAACTCCATGGCGAGCGTGTCCCCGCGCCGCCCCGCCGCTGCCCCGCCGCCCCGCCGGCCTCATGGGCACACCTGAGCCCGGCTGCGCGTCCCGACCGGCCCGGCCCGGCCCCGGCAGCTGCGGAGGGACGTGTCAGTGCTGCGGGGACCTTCGCTCGCTCTGCCTCAGCCTCAAGGACCCAGAGCGCGGAGAGCGGCCGTCCCTCCTCCTCCTCCTCCCTCTGGGCCGGGCTTGGCCCCCCCGGGCCACCCCACCTGCCCCGCTGAAGGAAACTGGAGAGTCTTCAAAGAGCACCAAGACAATGGCTGCAAAAACAGTCCCACCCGGGCCCCCCGCAGCACCGGCACCGCCAGGCCCGGCAGAACAGGCCAAGCTCAACAGAGCCGCCTCCGGTGCGGGACAGCCCGTCCCACCTGAGCCAAACCCAACACGACCACCCCCGGAGCTGAGCCCGCAGTGCCACTCCCACCCGAGCCGAAGCCAGGCTGGCCCAGCCAGCCCGGCACGGCACAGCCCCGCCAGAGCCGGCAGCGCCGGTCCCACCAGCGCCAGGGGCAGCCCAGCCCAGCCGCCCCAGCAGCCCAGGGCCGTCAGAACCGCCCCAGCACGGAGGAACGGGCAGGGGGCAGCCTGGGGACGGGCATCAGCCAGGTGCAGCACACACCTGAGCACGCACCGGCCCTGGCACCCTGACCCGCTGACAGGGATCCCCCAGAGCCCCCTGTGCGCTGCCCCTGCCCCGGCTCCTGGGCAGCAGGAGGGGACAGCCGGGCACACTGCTGCCCCTGCCTGCCCCCGCTTCCAAGGGACATCCAGAGCTGTGGGACTGCGGCACCTGGGAGCAGCAGGGCTGTGGGTACCCCCCTCCTGGCCTGGGAGGGGGTGCAGGCTGCGGGGGACCCTCTGTCCCACCATTAGGGGCACAGGGAGGGCAAATCTGGAGCAGGGGTGGCAGCCAGGGAGTGGCACAGTGCCCACCATGATCCCTGGAGGAATGCTTGCCTGGGGAATGCTTGGTGGGATTAGGCTGAGCCCCTCCTGGCAGCCCTGGCACAGCCTGCCTGGGCCTGCCCGCCGCAGGGCCGGGGGCAGCTGAGCTGGCACGGGGCTCTGCAGCGCGGCAGCGCCAGCGGCGTCTGGGAGGGGAATGGGGTGAGAGGGCAGTGTCTCTGCCACCACCAGCCCCGGCCTGTCCCTGACCAGGACAGGCTCCACGTGCAGCAGCTCATGGCCAGGGTCCAAGGTCACCCCCACATTCCCCGGTGCAGACTAAACACCAGGGGAGGTTACAGCGCGTCCCCGGCGGGGACAGCCCAGCCCCAGCCTCCGGCACGGCCCCGGCCCAAGGCTCCCGCGCCCCAGACCCTCGGTGCCCCGGGCTCTGCTGCCCCCACACCCCACCCCCGGTGGTCCCAACTCTGCTGGCCTCCTCACCCCTCTGGGGGCTGCTGCCCCTCACCCAGGCGGCCCCAGAATGTGCCCCACAAAACCCAGCAGCCGCAGCCCCGGGTCCCGCTCTCCCGGCCCTGGGGCGTCCCTGTCCCTGTCCCTGCCGTGCCCAGCCTGCCTGCCCCGGTGCCCCGCTCCTCACGCTCCATCGCAGCCTTCCTCGTCACCCCGCGCACTCGGGACCCCGCTGGAGCCGCCGCTGTCCCCGGTGTCCCCATCCCGGGGCTCTCAGGGGCTCCACTCCCCTTCCCCGCTGTCCCCGCTGTCCCTAACACGGGGCTCTGCTCCCTGTCCCCGCTGTCCCTATCCCGGGGCTCTGCTTCCCGTCCTCGCTGCCCCCATCCCGGGGCTCTGCTCCCCTCTCCGGTGTTCCCGGTGCCCGCAGCCAGGGGCTCTGCTCCTTGCCTCCCGTGCTCCCATGCCGGGGCTCTGCTCCCCGTCCCCGGTGTCCCATCCCGGGGTCCTGCTCCCCGTTCCCGGTGTCCCCATCCCGGGGTCCTGCTCCCCGTCCCCGGTGTCCCATCCCGGGAGCCGCGGCCGCGCTGCCCGCGGAGCGCGCGGTGCCGGTGCCGGTGCCGGCGGTGACCTTGCCCCGGTGCGACACTCACCGGCGGCGGCAGCACTCTCCCCATGTGCCGCCGCAGCCGGGGCGCGCCGGGATGACGCCGGGGCCGGGCGGGGCCGCTCCGCCGCCGCTTCCGCCTGCTGCTGCTGCTGCCCCGGGCCGCCCGCGGGGCCGCGGTGAGCCGCGGGGACGGGAACGGGGCCACGGGAACCGGGGGCTCCGGGGGGCACGGGGTGTCACGGGTCAGAGGAGCCGGGAGGTCAGGGAGTGCCCGGCTCGGGAGTGCCCGGCTCGGGAGTGCCCGGGGGAACCGAGGGTCGGTCAGTCCCCGGTCGGGGGTGTCCTGAGGTCGGGGGTGCCCGGCTCGGGAGTGCCCGGCTCGGGAGGTCCCGGGGGAACCGAGGGTCGGTCAGTCCCCGGTCGGGGGTGTCCTGAGGTCGGGGCTGTCCTGAGGTCGGGGTGCCCGGTTCGGGAGTGCCCGGCTCGGGAGTGCCCGGGGGAACCGAGGGTCGGTGTCCTGAGGTCGGGGCTGTCCTGAGGTCGGGGTGCCCGGTTCGGGAGTGCCCGGCTCGGGAGTGCCCGGGGGAACCGAGGGTCGGTCAGTCCCCGGTCGGGGGTGTCCTGAGGTCGGGGGTGCCGGCTCGGAGGTGCTCGGAGGGAAGCCGTGGGTTGCCCCGAGGCCGGGGAGGTTCTCCTTCTCCGGGGAGCGGCGGTACCGGGGGTTCGGGTCACACTCGGGAGTGGCGGGACGCTCGGGAGGCGGGGTGCCCCTGTGCCCGCGCTGCCCGTGCCCCCTCGCCCTCCCCAGGTGTGCGGGCTGTGCCCGGGGCCGCCGCGGAACGGCTCCCTCGTGTCCCGGTTCTGTGAGTCCCGGCGTGACACCGAGAGCGACGGGCGCTGCTGCCGGGAGCGGGGCACGTCCCCGGGGCGGCTCCTGGGGTACGGGGGATGCACAGGCTGGGGGCGAATCGGGGTGCTGGGGGGTCGGGGGCCACGTGAAGGGGGTGCTGGGGGATTGGAGGTGCCGGGATGGGTTTTGGGTCCACAGCGGTGCCAGGGGAATGGCGGGGCTGGGGAATGCCTGGCTGGAGCATCCTGGGCGGTGCGGGGGGCGCAGGTGGGTGCTGGGGGTCACAAAGGTGTCAGGGGCAAGGGTGGGGGACAGGCATGCTGCTGTGTCCCCAAGCACTGTCCCTTCCCAGGCTGGACCTGAGCAACTGCTCCCTGCACAGCGTTCCCCCGGGACTGGCCGAGGCCACTGCTGCCATCGTCCTGTGAGTCCCCCGGGCCCCCTCTGGCCCCTGCCAGGAGCCGGGCCGGGCTGGCAGAGGGGATTGGGGCAGGTTTGGGGGGACATTCCCATGGGCCGGGGCCAGCACAGCCGTGCCCTGCTGGTCCCAGGGCCACTGGCTGCTCCCTGCCCTCGTGGCTGTCAGTCCACAGGGTGTGACCAAACAGAAACCACCCCCAGTTTTGAACGGGGAGCCCTGGGACCTGTCTGTCCCGGCAGCCCTGTGCCCAGGGGAGCAGGGGACAGATCCTTCTGGAGCTGTCATGGTGTGCACTGTCACAGGACAGCCAGTGGGGGCCCGTGCTGGCAGGTGAGAGGAGCCACATGGTCACACCTTGGCTTTTGCCACAGTCCCACAGTGTCCTCACCCCTGGGTTGGAGAGACAGAAGGCAGGGAGGAGCCACGTCCAGGGCACTGGCCGGGCTCAGGGCGCGGTGTCCAGATGAGCCCAGTGAGCCGTGGTGGCCCTCAGGGCACCGTGACACCTCAGCTCATCAGTGTTTTTGTTAATGACCAAGCTGTCCCTCACTGTGGCACCTCAGCTCATCAGTGTTTTTGTTAATGACCAAGCTGCCCCTCACCATGGCACCTCAGCTTATCAGTGTTTTTGTTAATGACCAAGCTGCCCCTCACCGTGGCACCTCAGCCCATCAGTCTTTTTGTTAATGACCAAGCTGCCCCTCTCCGTGGCACCTCAGCCCATCAGTCTTTTTGTTAATGACCAAGCTGCCGCTCACCATGGCACCTCAGGCCATCAGAGTCTTTGTTAATGCCCAAGCTGCCCCTCACTGTAGCACCTCAGCCCCTCAGAGTCTTTGTTAATGCCCAAGCTGCCCCTCACTGTAGCACCTCAGCCCCTCAGAGTCTTTGTTAATGCCCAAGCTGCCCCTCACTGTAGCACCTCAGCCCCTCAGAGTCTTTGTTAATGACCAAGCTGTCCCTCACCATGGCACCTCAGCCTATCAGAGTCTTTGTTAATGACCAAGCTGTCCCTCACTGTGGCACCTCAGCCCATCAGAGTCTTTGTTAATGACCAAGCTGCCCCTCAGCAGCTCTGCAGACCTTTGAGCCCTGGCTGCAGGGCTGCACTGCCAGGGCTCGGGTGGGCAGGGGGTGGCAGGGCATGGGAGCTGCCTGAGGTGCTGGGGGTACCCCGGTGCTGCCAGGCCGGGGGTTCTGCACGGGCTGAAGGTCTGTGTGCTTGCAGGGACCTGACTGAGAACCCGCTGACAGCTCTGCCCGGTGGCTCCTTCCTGGGCTTCCGAGGTGCCAGGGTACCCCGGTGCTGCCAGGCCGGGGGTTCTGCACGGGCTGAAGGTCTGTGTGCTTGCAGGGACCTGACTGAGAACCCGCTGACAGCTCTGCCCGGTGGCTCCTTCCTGGGCTTCGTCCAGCTGCAGAGGCTGTGAGTGCCGGGCGGCCGGGGCTGGGGGTGGCGCGGGGCCCGTGCTGAGCTGTGTCCCCAGCGCGGTGCCGGCGGCGCTGCAGTGCCCGGGAGGGAGCGACGCCTGGCAGGACGTGACGGTGGACAGGAGCACCCGGCTGTGCCAGGGGCAGAGGAACCCCTGCAACAGCTCCGTGCCGCTCGGTATGGGGGGCACTGGGTGCGTGGGGCTGGCAGCGGGGTCTGGCCCGGCCCCTGAGCCCTGCTCTGCCCTGCTCTGCCAGCCTGGCCGTGTCCTGAGAACTCTGCGTGTGCCCCCGACGGCCCCGGCCTCGTCCAGTGCCTCTGTGACGGTCCCTTCCACGGCTACAAGTGCCTGCGTGAGGTGAGAGCCTGCGGGACGCCCCTCGCCCGGGCTGCAGCAGCAGGGGCTGCGGGGGCCGTGATGCTCACTCCTGGTCCCGGGCAGGGCGCCTTCCCCACGCTTCTCTTCGGAGGAATCCTGGGCGCTGCCACCGTGTCGCTGTCCCTGCTGCTGTGGGGCACCCAGCGGAGGAAGGCCAAGATGCCCTGAGCAGGGCAGGGACCCTGCCTGGCTGGAGGCTCTGTGGCCGGGGGGCTCTGGGGGTCAATAAAGCTGCAGCTCCTCGCTGTGTGTCCGTCTGGGTCCTTCCCGGGGGAAGGGTGGGTGAGTGGTGGAACCCACGGGACGGGGCCGTGCAAGCTCCCACTGTTACAGGTACATATTATAATACTGGCTTTTCGAAATATTAAAGTGGGTTTGTCTGTGTAGGGTTAAAGTAACTTTGTAATAAAGATATAGTTTATGTTTCTACTGTTAATTAAGCTTAGACGTAATAGTGAAATAGCTGATGTCAGTGTGCTTGTGTTAAATGCCTGCTGGGGTGGAATAACACCCAATGAACACGGGATAAGGACACCTGTACAGACCTGCCAACTATCAGCACTCACCATCGGAAGGCAGCGTGGGCCAGGGCCCAGACTGGAAGTGATAAAGAGAAGGAGCCAAAACCCCAGCCAAGGAAAACACATGCTCTTAAAAAGCAGACCCGAGGAGGGACCGTGTAAAATAGTTCCTGGAATATGTAATCTAGTTTATGGATATGCAAAGGGCTGATGTAATTAAAAGGTATTTAAAGGGCACCCCGAAGATAACAGCGTGGGCTTGGCTCAGTGCCGAGATGCACTCTATGGTCCTTGTCTTCTGTTGTCCTTTAACAAACTTTGGAAATTTTCACAGCAGAGTGAATGTGGTTTTCAGAAAACGCGCTGCTACACGCTCGGGGCAAGGCGGGGGTGAGCGGGAACAGCGTCCACACCGGGAGCTGCCCGCAGCTGCGGGGTCACCGCCCACGGCCGGAGGAGGGAACGGGGAACGAGCGGGAGGCAAACAGATCCAGCAGCCGGTAGAATCAGAGGTGTAGTGGTCACTACAAAAACCAACCACCCCACGTTTTATATCTGTCATTGACCACGAGACCAGGGGAGAGCGCGAACGCAGTCCCCCACTACCACAAATTATGCAGTCGCACGCTCGGGCCAAGGCGGGGGTGAGCGGCAGCAGCGTCCGCAGACCGGGAGGAAAACGGATCCAGCGGCCGGTATAGTCAGAGGTGTAGTGATCCCCACGAGAACAACCACTCCACATCTTGTATCTGTCATTGACCGCGAGACCAGGGGAGAGCGCGAACGCAGTCCCCCACTACCACAAATTATGCAGTCGAGTTTCCCGCATTTGGGGAAATCGCAGGGGTCAGCACACCCGGAGTGCAAGGGATGAGCCTCGCCCTGGGAAAACCACCCGGAACCGGGTCCTGAACGGAACCGGGTCCTGAATGGATCCTGAATGGATCCCAAAGGGATCCCAAAGGGTCCTGAATGGATCCTGATCCTGAACGGAACCGGATCCTGAATGGATCCTGATCCTGAACAGATCCAGATCCCAAATGGATCCAGACCCCGAACAGAACCAGACCCTGCACAGATCCAGGCCCAGCAGAGGCAGCAGGCACAGCGCTGGGTCACACTTTTTTTTGGGGAATTTTCTCCTCAAATCCCAATTTTTTGGGAAATTCCTCCCCAAAATCCCTTTGTTTTTTGAATTTTCTCCCCAAAATCCCATTTTTGGGGGGGAATCCTCTCCTCAAATCCCATTTTTTGGTCCCAAAATCCCATTTTTTGGGGAATTTTCTCCCCAAAATCCCATTTTTTTGGGAATTCTCTCCTCAAATCCCACTTTTTGGTCCCAAAATCCCGTTTTTTGGGGAATTTTCTCCCCAAAATCCCATTTTTTAGAAATTTTGGGGAAAAAAGGGATTTTTTTTGGGGGGGTGTTAAGAGAGAGAATTTTGGGGAGGGAAAAGAGAATTTTTGTAGGGAAAAAAGAAAAATTTTGGGGGGAATAAAGGGAATTTGGGGGGAAATAATTTTTTGGGGAAAAAAGGGAATTTTTGGAGGTTAAAAAGGGGAATTTTGGGGGGGAAAAATGGAATTTTTGCAGAAAGAGGAAATATTTTGTAGAAAAAAGGGAATTTTTAGGAGAAAAAAGGGAATTTTTAGGGGAAAAGGGGAATTTTGGGGAAAAGAATTTTTGGTGGAAAACAAGGTGAGTTTCTTGGGGGAAAAAGGGGAATTTTTTGGGGGGAAGAAGGTGAATTTGTGGGATTTTTGGCGGGTTCCTGGAGCCGGACCCGGGCCAGGACACGGCGAGGATCTCGCAGCGCGAAATCGCCGAGGCCATGGACATCGCCAGCACCTCCCAGCTGGGCAAAAACGGGGCAAAAACCCGGAATTTGGAAAAAAATGGGGATTTGGGGGGGAAAATGGGGGTTTGGGAGGAGAAAATGGGATTTGGGGAGAAATTTTGAATTTTGTCCTCAGTAGGGATTGGGGACATCTGGGGGTTTCTTCCAGTCTCGATTTTGAAATTATTTTTAAAAAATATTTATTTTTAAAATATTTATTTCATATTACTAATTCCAACTTAATAAAGGACTAATAATCAAGTGAAAATTATTTAAATTATCAAGTTAAAATTCTTTATTTATTCATTATAACTAATTTTAAATTTTTTATCTAATTTTTTAAATTATTTATTTTAACATTATTAATTTTTTTTAATATTCATTTTTGTCTCAATCCCAGCTCGCTGCGACCCTGAGCCCAGGTCCAGATGGGAAAAAAATACAAAACAATTATAAAATACTGAATAATTATAATAATTATAGTAATAATACGAAACACTTATACACTTATAATTATAACAGTTACATTTTAATTATATTCTACCCGTAACACAAAATATTTCTAGAAAACGGGTCTGGTGTGAAAGCAGAACCCTTGAGACACTCCAAGTCAGAAACAGAATTAATTAGGGAAAGGACCCAAAATACATGCAAAAGAAAATGAAGATAAAAATAGAAACTGAAGCAGTCGGAATTCCGCGTTTCAGCCGCGGCAAAAATTTAAAAATTGAAGCAATGTGGCACTTGCTGATTGCTCGGCCGCTGTCTGAAGTGAGCAGGGTGATGTGTGCTCCTTCTGGAATGCAGCCGGGAATGCGGAAACGGTCTGGAAATGGCGAGATGGAGCCTAAACCTGCTGGGACTGAGCCTAAACCCGCTGGGATGGAGCCTGAACCCGCTGGGGCTGAGCCTAAACCTGCTGGGACTGAGCCTAAACCGCCTGGGGCTGAGCCTAAACCCGCTGGGATGGAGGCCAAACCCCCTGGGGTTGAGCCTAAAGCCCCTGGGGCTGAGCCAAAAGCCCTGGGATGGACCCTGAACCCCTGGGATGGAGCCCAAACCCCCTGGGGCTGAGCCTAAAGCCCTGGAATGGAGCCTGAACCCCTGGGATGGAGCCTAAACCCGCTGGGACTGAGCCTAAAGCCCTGGGGCTGAGCCTAAACCCGCTGGGATGGAGGCCAAACCCCCTGGGGCTGAGCCTAAAGCCCCCGGGGCTGAGCCTAAAGCCCCTGGGATGGAGCCTAAACCCCCTGGGGCTGAGCCTAAAGCCCTGGAATGGAGCCTGAACCCTTGGGATGGAGCCTAAACCCGCTGGGACTGAGCCTAAAGCCCCTGGGGCTGAGCCTGAACCCCCTGGGACTGAGCCTAAACCGCCTGGGGCTGAGCCTAAAGCCTCTGGGATGGAGCCTAAACCCCCTGGGATGGAGCCTGAACCCCTGGGATGGAGCCTAAACCCGCTGGGTGTGAGCCTAAACCCCCTGGGACTGAGCCTAAACCCGCTGGGACAGAGCCTGAACCCCCTGGGGCTGAGCCTAAAGCCTCTGGGATGGAGCCTAAACCCCCTGGGATGGAGCCTGAACCCCTGGGATGGAGCCTAAAGCCGCTGGGACTGAGCCTAAACCCCTAGGACTGACCCAAAGCGGGAGCTTTCCGTGGCAGAAGGGGAGATGCCTCGGCCCCGCCTGTTTTTTCCCGTTTTGTAGCTCGGCGGGCAGTGCCATGTGCGAGGACAGGGCAGGGGACACACGGTGGGGCAGAGGGGACACACGGAGCGGCAGAGGGGACACACGGGGTGGGCAAGGGGACAGCCGGTGGGGCAGGGGACACACGGTGGGGCAGAGGGGACACACGGTGCGGCAGAGGGGACACACGGTGGGGCAGGGGACACATGGTGGGGCAGGGGACACACGTGGGGCAGAGGGGACACACGTGGGGCAGGGGACCCGGGAGCTGGCGGAGAGTGGCAGAGGGGACTGCAAGCAGGTGGCAGGGGCTACAAGGGGGTTGCACAAGGGACAGCAGAGGGGACAGAGGAACAGCAGGGGCTACGAGGGGGGTGGCACATGGTCGCAGAGGGAACGAGGGAGCGACAGAGGGGACAGCAGAGCTCTCCAGGGAGGGGATAAAGGGACCCCGGGAGGGCACACGCATCCCTGGACACCACAAGTGCCACCGGGTCCCTGACACCTTGACACCTCCCCTGTCCCCTCTCCAGCTGCTGCAGCTGCTGGTGGCCGTGGTGGCTATCTTGCATGAGCTGGTGACCACCGTGGTGAGGCCAGACGGGGACGTGATGCTGGCCGTGTTCCAGAGGTGCCTGTGCTGGACCCTGAGGAGATTCACCTGGCACTTCTGGAGCACCCTGCGGCGCCGCGCCATCGCCTTCCTGGGCCGGGCCCTGGCCAGCCGCGGGGCCACCCCTGGGATCCCCTGGGCCGGTGCCTTGCAGGAGGTGCTGGTGGCCACCGTCAGGGAGAGCTGGGCCCGGGCGGCTGAGGAGGCCGCGTGTGGCAGAGCGCGGCGCACCCAGAGGAGCTGCAGCGCCTGGCTGGCCAGATCCACACCGCCCTGGGGCAGAGGCTGCAGGCGCTTCTCGCGGCAGCTGGTGGCCACCGTCAGGGAGAGCTGGGCCCGGGCGGCTGAGGAGGCCGCGTGTGGCAGAGCGCGGCGCACCCACGGGAGCTGCAGCGCCTGGCTGGCCAGATCCACACCGCCCTGGGGCAGAGGCTGCAGTGCCCGCGCGGCCGAGTAGCTGCGGGGTGCCAGCGCCCTCCTGCTCAGGGATCAGCTGCAGGGCACACTTAAGGACCTCCACAATCTTCTCGTAAAAGCCCACGGCAGCCGCGGTTACCCCGGTGGCCCCAGTGGCAGTGCAGGGCCCCAG